GTCGTAAATCTAGCAGGTGTCAGAGGCCAGAAAAAAGCCAGTAGCCAATTCTCTCCGAGCCATTGTCGAAGGTTGCCGCGTAAACCGATGTTGTAAATCGGCGACGGCCCAGTCGAGGAACTTGATAATGAGAAAGGGGAGTGCGCATCCTGCAGATGAACAGCACTGCAAAGTTTAGAATCATGATGATGTGATGAAAGTCCCTCGGCCAGATGAGCCGGAATGCAGCTATCACTTGTACCAGCATCTTCGGTCGATGGGAGAACGCATAGCAGACCAATGGGGAAATAATAAAAGATTAAATGGTAAGAAAAATGGAGCCATATACAACATAGAAAATTGTTGCTAAAGCTTAAATACCGATTGACTAAGCATCCTTCAATTCCTATGCAAAAGAATAATCAACATCGCATTTTACCACTTAATTTTTGATGACTTTTTCTGCAAAATGGAAATAACCGAGTAACAGTGGAAGCAAAATCAGAGCAATAAAGTGAATGAATGTCGACTAAGCCTGCTCTCTCTATCTTCACTGGCCTGTGAACATAATGTCCTGACAAAGGTAAACTGTTTCCGTTCAGAAAATTGTCCGATGAATCAAGAAACATCAGATTGTAAAAATATTGATACGAAGAGATCCAAAATATACAGAAAAGCTGGCTGCATATGGTGAAAACACGAGAAAACGCAATATCCGAGAAGCCTTCAAAGATACTGACCGAAAGAAATCTAATAAACAGAAGACTTGATGAAGACAGGATCAGCGAAAACTTTGCATATCGGCTAAGCAAACTAGGACGAGATCAAGCAACAGTAAGATTATCAAAGATAAGAAGACTGGATCAAGGTAACATCGTTAATTTTATGAAAATAAATCGCAAGGAGAGACACCACAATTGTTTAGCAGACAATTGATCAAAGGATCGACTTCACCTGTCTCTTTGACGAGTTTCAGTGGTGCTAAGAATGGCAAGGTTCACTGACGATGCCAGCAAAACGTCTGGGAATGTTTCAAGTCCATGGTCAGACTGGAAATTATGGTGCATACTATGGACTCCAGACTAGGTGCGCTCCCCTAGGTCTTCCAGCCAATATGACCAAGTTGCGAAAACAAGGTCAAAACTACTAAAATTATTTAAATTTGTTAAATTTTCAGCCATTTCATAATATCCATTGCATCAGAGAAGGGTTAAGTAGCTGCAAATATTTTTCAATTATCTCTCAAATAGAAGTTGTTTGACCTTGCTTTCGCAACTTGTTCATAATGTTAGGAAGACTTAGAGGAACGAACCTAGTCCGGAGTCCATTGTATACATGATCATTTCCAGAGTAGGACCATGGACGTGGTACATTCCCAGACGTTTCACCGGCATCGTCAGTGAGTCTCGCCATTCGTAGGACCATATTAAAACTCGTCAAAGAGACAAGTAAAGCCCATACTTTGACCAAAAGTGTATCTCCCCTTCTGCCCTGGGCTATTTACATTTCCTATATCCTCCTATCATGCCTTCCCTGTCACAATTTTTACCGTGCATATTTTTAATGTAGTGTGGTGTGCTCCTTCGAGCGGCATTCATGAAAACCCGTCACACTCCACGCTGTCGTTCTCAACCCCTTGTGCTCGGAATGTTGATCAGTGTCATATTGTTGCGTAGTCGTTCCCTGAGTCCTATCAGAGTCTTCCTCTTGCCCCGTAGAATCCGTCTGCTATCGCCCTGATACATGTATATAACTCGGCCCCTGCCCCGCCCATCTGTGCTACTCGAGGCTATGACTTGCTATACCCTAGTCGTTTGTGTGCCAACCCACAGATGTTGTGGTACTGCTGGCTTTGATTAGATTCAATGTTGAACCACAACGTTTGTGGGTTGTCACTTGTCTCTTTGACGAGTTGTAATATGGTGCTACTAATGGCGAGACTCACTGACGATGCCAGCGAAACGTCTGGGAATGTACCACGTCCACGGTTCTACTCTGTGAATGATGCATACAATGGACTCCGGACTAGGTTTGTTCCTCTAAGTTTTCTTAACAATATGACCAAGTTGCGAAAACAAGGTCAAACAACTTTGATACAACGAAAGGAGACTGCGACCACACAAAGCGACAACACACCATTTTGGTCTTCATATCTCTCTAATGTCTGAAGAAGTGACGATATGAACGATATTTTTCCAGCGTAAAGTCTGCTGTTGTTAATTTAAATTACAAAGAAAATAGCTCCAAAAGCAAACTTCCTTTGACGATGAAGACAAGTGGTTTTTTAATTAGAATTGCTCTGCGACCACTTCAAACAATGCCCACTACCCGAGCAGTAAATAGCCAGATATTCGAGATAATCACATTATGTATGTAAATTACGCGTGTCGAGCAGCCCTATAATCCTTTTGTATCCTTTAATGAGGAATTAGTAGTTATAAGAACATCTGAAATCCCTATATGAGCAGGTAGACCACTAATTCATCAAAAATGTCTCAAAATGGAGATCTATGCCAGAAAGACAAATGGCATTGTATTGGGTCGGTAGGTATTGGGAAGATTGCTACCGACAAACTCAGGCAAATTTACCTTAAAATGAATCTCTCAAAATATGTGACAACGGGCTTGGTAACTCCCCTTTGCGGTGGGAAATGTAAGGCCTCAGACATTATCTTTTAGTGAGCTTCCATATAACTCTCCAGAGTATACTGCGAATAAGATCGTTCGTGACGTGGTCCATGTAGCAAGGGCGTGATTCTCAGACTTACTCAAAGGCTTTAGCCTCGAATTAGTTACCCAGACGCATGGGAGGGCGAATAACGCCTCGAGTAGCACAGATGGGGAGACAGGGGTCGAGTGAAAAACTTGTGCCAGGTAGATAGCAGACGGATTCTATGGCGCAAGAGGGAGACTCTGATAGGACCCAGGTAATGACTACGTAACAATGAGACTCTGGTCAACATTCCAAGCACAAAGGTGAAGGGTGTGAGAACGACAGCTTGGAGTGTGAAGGGTTTTCATGAATGCCGCTCAAAGGAGTACACCACACTAAATCTAAATAGGCACGGTATAAATTGTGACAGTGAAGGTGTGATAGAAGGATATAGGAAATGT